TTTACAGACCGGCAGCTGCCAGACGCACAATGGCCCACCCGGCCCTATGCTGCCAGCATGTCCCTTCCCCTCGGGGGTGGGCCTATGCCTGCCACACAGCGCCCCCGCCCAATACCCCCCCCCAACTCCCTATGGCCAGAGCCCCCCCCGGACCCACTATGCCCAGCGCCCCCCCAACCCCTCCCACAAATGCCCAGTGCCCCCCTGCCCAGCACCCCCCACAGAACCCCCACTGCCTAGTGCCCCAACACACAGAGATCTTCCTCCACCCCCCCACCCCAGCACACACACTCCCGGAGACCCCCTCCTCCACACCCTGCCTCCCAGCCACTCACCAGCCCTGCTGGGAGGCGACTGTTTGCCGGTGGTGCCAGCCAAGCTCCATCACCAAGCCCTATTACGAGCAGGCCTGGAGCCCGCTTGGCATGTCTCTCCCCAACACACGCACACGCGCCAGTGCTCAAGCTAGGGGATGATCCAAGGGCATCTTGCCAAGCTAGGGCCCGAGGGAGCCAGGGATCGGGTGCCAGGTCCTGGTGCTGCAGGTGTCCTCTGGGTGGCTCAGGCTCTGGTCCCACCTGTCACGGAGTCCCCGGGCGATACTCGGGAACTGCTCCCCACAAAGCCAGTCAGGACTTCGGGGAGCCTCCTCTCCCTTGGAGCAGACTGTCCTCAGGGCAAGAAGCTCACACGGCTTCACCTCCTGGGTCCCTCCTGGGTCTCTCCTGGGAGCATTCAGCATATGCCCCGTGCGCTTCCCACAGCGAGTCTGCCCAGGCGGGGTCCTGGGGAAGCCAGAGTGTCCTGCACCCCCACTTCGCAGTCAGACGTGACTCTCAGCCAGCCAGTAACACAGAGGTTTATTAGATGACAGCAACACAGTCTAAACCAGAGCTTGTAGGTCCAGAGAACAGGACCCCTCAGCCGGGTCCATTCTGAGGCCCAGCGAGCCAGACACCCACGTCTGCCCTCACTCCCCGTCCCCAGCCAGCTCCAAACTGAAACCCCCTCCAGCCCCTCCTCTCTGGCCTTTGTCTCTTTCCCAGGCCAGGAGGTCACCTGACCTCTTTGTTCTCCCACACCTTTAGCATCACCTTGCAGGGGGAAGGGCCTGGCCATTAGTTGCCAGGTGACAGAATGTCGGCCGGAAACTGAGGCATCCACACAGTGTTCAGAGGAAACGTTAAGAACAGTCCCACTTCGTCACATCACCTGTCTGAGCCTGGGGAGCTCTCGGCCCCAGGAGGAGCCCACCTGCCCTGCCCCGCCCCAGGGTCCCGGCCCCCCCCCCGCCTTTACAGCCCCCTCCTCCGGCCCCAGAGTCCTAGCTCCCGCCCGGCTTTACAGCCCCTCCTCCCGCCCCAGAGTCCCCGCCCGGCTTTTACAGCCCCCTCCTCCCGCCCCAGAGTCCCAGCCCCCGCCTGCCTTTTACAGCC